GGTAAGCATCCCTGCCATGGCTGCTCTCCCGTGTTAGCCACCTCCGCCTCCTGAGTCACGCCGGCTCTCGCACGTTTGCGAGAAGGCCTGGAGACATGTAATATCTCATGAGATACTTCCCCAAAACCAAACATGTAACGGCAAGTCAAGGCAGCTGTGCTAGTACGGACTGTCAGGCGATGCTCTTCATCGTCACCACCTACCCCAGTAGCAGTTGGTCCTTTGGATCCTGGGACACGTACACAAAGTCCCTGCACAGGAGAAATGCTATTAGTATGAGGAAGAGGAGCAGAAGGAAGCGAGAGCAGACTTCAGAGGCCACGTAGAGCAGTCCCTTTTTACCTTAGGTAGGCCTTCGGTTTGTATCCCATTGCCAGCGCCTTCTCCTCAGACATGAGCAGAATGGCCGAAGCACCATCTGTCTGAAACAGGCAGACAAACCCCGTGAGGTCGCTGCCTGAAGAGCAAGCACACCCTGCGCACAAAAGGAGCCTGACAGCCCTCCTGCAGGGCAGCTGGCAAGAGAGGACCCAGATCTAACCACAGCTTCCACGACACCCCCATATGATACGGGACACAGAAGAATTCTGCCTGCTTGAGCTGATGGATGGATGATCTCCACTGATGTTAGCACACGCACCGCTGAAGCCCTTCCTTAGGGTCCAGCCCCACAACTCCCCCTGGTTTCACAGAGGACAGAGGTGCCCAGCCGCCCTGCCAGTCCCGAGGACAAGCTGGTTGCCCCAAACTCTCACCTGCCCGCTCAGCTCCTTCTCAAATCTGAGTCGAATTCTGGGATGACAAGCCACAGGTTGACCACATTGCAAAAATGAACATCACGGCCCCGGCACGTGATCACTCATTTCTTGTATAATAGCCCAAGCTGGCCTACAGATCTGCTGCAGACAGCACACCAACCGTGTCTCAACTGTTCCCGACACCAGGGCTGTGGCATCACCAGCCTCTAAGTCCCCAGGAATGCTAAAGAGTAAATATCATGGCTGCTGAAAAAGCCCCAACAATAGTTATTTGCTTCCTTTGAAGTGCTCGTCACAAACAGCCTTTTAAACACAGGAGAATGTTGTCAGGGCTGCGTGCAGGAACGGGACGGCCACCTCGAGCCCTCTGCGGGAGGCAATCACTTTCCACTGAGTCTCAGGAACTGGGGCTCAGATACACCTCACCTAATTTACACAACTACCTTCGACTTCAGCATCTAAAAATCTTCCTTTAAAAGCGCTAAAGAGAGAAAGAGGAGCATATGCAGAAGACAGCTCATTGTAGATGTGCTAGAGAAATCTCTCCTTCCGCTCTGTGGATTACAGGGCAAGCCTTTAAGTGACAAGTTTAGACTAAAACTACTAACTTTGAGACTTACAGCGCGATCGGTCCCATCCTGGGACAAAATTTCTACACGTGCCCTTGAACGATCAGCCCTCATGAGGCAGCTACAGAAAAGCAAACAGGTAAGACGGACCAGAATCTCAGAGGTTTAGCTCTAATTCTAAACTGAAACAATCCAGTACCCAGGTTCGCCAGGTTACAATACAGTTCAAAGTTACCCTTGAAAAACCCAAAAGCAGGCGGTATTACAAAGGAGACAACTCATTCCTACAGATTATACCGGCTTGATCCACGTGCCCATGGGAGGCAGAAGGGTAAACTGGACAGTTTTCCCCTCTGGCTCACAGCGATGGGAAAAGGCATTACCAGGAAGGAGGAGTTGGCAGCTGTGACAGTTCCGAAGGGCTTGACAAAAGCTGGCTTCAGCTTGCCCATCTGCTCCATTGAGGAAGGACGGATCCCGTTATCTTTGGTAACTGTATCTTTGCCTGTTGATGAAAAAAGCACATTTAAACTACGAAAGTCAGCAACATTGGTTCTCTTGGTTGTCCAAAGAAGTTGTGGCTGCCCCATCCCTGGAGGGGTTCAAGGCCAGGTTGGACGGGGCTTGGAGCAACCTGGGCTGGGGGGAGGTGGCCCTGCCCGGGGCAGGGGGTGGAACTGGATGAGCTTTAAGGTCCCTTCCAACCCAAACCATTCTACGATTCTATGAACATACATGAATTTGCACATCAGGAGTCCAGGGGAAAGAAGAAAAAAAAAAAAAATTAGAAAACTGTGCTTTTTATGACAAGTGGGAGGAGGAAAAAAAGGAAAATCCACTCATGGTATCAGGATATTTAACATGGCTAAAAAATAGCACTTAAAAATCAATGCTGCATTACTTTCTCTCTGAAGACTGCAAAAACAAAGTGTTGCAATCTATTTACTGTACAAAAAACTACTACATGGAAAACCCAGATGATAAAAGAATTTAAATTCAGATTATAAACCCTAAACTGGAGAACTGGACCTAAATCAGTACACACTCACGTGCCAAGTTTTGAGGAAGTAAGAGCACTGTGAAGAACCAAATATATGTATCTTCAACTCTACTGCTTCCTTAAATAAGCCAGCCAACAAAAAGTACCAATTTTAGTATAAAGACTATACTTAAGTGTGGATCTATAAAAGCAAGGTCTCTCTAGGAAACTAATTCCAAAATAAAGTGCCCAAAATTAATAGCTGCACCAAAGCACACCCACTGCCTGACGGAGGATGCGGGTGGAAATCGGGCCACAGAAAGGACAGCTCGAAGTCTCTCCCCGAACTGTTTCCTACGTGAGCAGTGACTGCGAGGGCCGGTGAACCGGAGTGTACCAAGCGGAACACATTTCAGCTCTTCCTATCCAGCACCTGATCCATCAGACCAGGATTTTATCAGGCTTTCTATGTGTTGTTCACAGCTTGGGGTATAAAGATGGGTTCTCTTGCCTGACTGAAAGAGCTGGGGCGGTTTTGGTCCAACCGTTCTGATTTTCCTTGCTCCATCACCACCTTAGCATGGACGTGAGGTGGCTACGACAAAATTTAGCCATGACAGGCTATGTTTATATATTTAGGTATGCACGTTTAAAAACACGCTCCTATGCCAGTAGTTTTCCAAGGAGAAACGGGCGGCATTTCAAAGAGTTAAAATCCGTATCACACAGAGAGAACACTATGAATCTGACCCCAGTACTTCAACTCCTTTTCTAAATCATAGAATCACAGAATGGTTTAGGTTGGAAAGGACCTTGAAGATCATCGAGTTCCAACCCCCTGCCCTGGGCAGGGACACCTCCCACCAGCCCAGGTTGCCCAAGGCCACCTCCAGCCTGGCCTTGAACACCTCCAGGGATGGGGCCTCCACAACCTCTCTGGGCAACCTGTGCCAGTGCCTCACCACCCTCACAGGGAAAAACTTCTGCCTCATATTTAATCTAAACCTGCCCTCTTCCAGTTTAGAGCCATTCCCCCTCGTCCTGTCACTCCATGCCCCAGTAAAAAGTCCCTCCCCAGCTCTCCTGGAGCCCCTTTAGGCACTGGAAGGCGGCAATAAGATCTCACAGAATCACAGAATGTTCCGCCAGAGAAGGGGACTCCACCCCCTCCCTGGGCAGCCTGTGCCACTGCTCTGTCACCCCAACCCTAAAGAAGGGTTTCCGTCTGTTGGAACGGAACTTCCTCTCTTCCAACTTGTGCCCATCGCCCCTCGTCCTGTCCCTGGGAACCACCGAGAAGAGTCTGGCTCCATCCTCCTGCAACCCCCCCTTTAGATACGTGTATGCCATAATAAGGTCTCCCCTCAGCCTTCTCCTCTCCAGGCTAAAGAGTCCCAGCGCTCTCAGCCTCTCCTCACACGGGAGATGCTCCAATCCCTCAGTCATCTTGGTTGCCCTTCGCTGGACTCTCTCCAGCAGTTCCCTGTCCCTCTTGAACTGGGGAGCCCAAAACTGGACCCAGCATTCCAGTTGTGGCCTCACCAGTGCCGAGTAGAGGGGGAGAATGACCTCCCTCGCCCTACCGGTCACACTCTTCCCTATGCAGCCCAGGATTCCATTGGCCTTTGTGGCAACAAGGGCACACTGCTGGCTCATGGACAATTTACTATCTACCAGGTCCCCCAAATCCTTCTCCTCAGAACTACAATCTCCCCGGAGCCTTCTCTTCTCCGTCAAGAAATAAGCCATTTCTTTACTGAACTACTGCATGCTAGCAATGAAACGCATGCACTTTTACCTGGCACTTTGAAAGGTACCACATCGAGTAGCAAGCCTCCATCCTGGGCTTTCTTGGCTAGCGTGTGCGACCGCAGGGCATACTCATCTTGCTCCAAACGGGAAATGCCAAAGGCAGCAGCCAAACGGTCGGCAGAGTGCCCCATAGTCTCGCTGGTGGAGAACTCTGCCACAGCTGGGAGCTACAAAACAGAAGAATAAAGGCAGCGCACGTAAACAGCTGTCCCTGGGGAGAGAGGCGAAGTTCAGAAGGTGGTGAAGCCCTGCACGGTCAGCCAGTGAGACCCTTGCGTTTATCAAGCAGAGCAGTTAACATTAGAGCTATGCAATTAACACGTGGGCGTCGTACCAGAAGTGACTTCATCAAACGTATTAGAGGAACCATCACTTTCAAAGATTTTTGGAAAAAAACGGATAAAAGGACTGCTGCTTACTCCAGGGGTTCAAGAACCGTATTGCATTTGCCCACGCAGACAAAGAGCAGCTGCCTCGTGCCTTGAACAAGGACTCCCCCGCGAAGGGTGACCGGCCTTTTTGGGCCAGGGTGAAATGACACGTCCTGGCACCTTAGAACTCCTTGTCAAATACCTCCGCAAGCAAAACCAGAGACAGCAAGTGATTTCAGCTTAGCTTTTCTCCTTCCAGCAGCACACAGGAAACCCCTGCACGTGTTTAGGTTTGCAATTTTCCTCTCTTATTTGGACTGTGGGTCTCACGTGCGCTGTGCCTCGCTGCACGCACGCTAAAGGCGGTCAGCAGCAGCACAGGCGCGGAGTTTTCTTGTGCAGAGCTCGGTGGCAGCGAGGAGGGAAGTGCTTTTCCTTCCGGTCTCCACCATGTCATAATTCACCTCTCTCATGACCTCCAAGACAGGAAAGAGCGGCTCCCTCTGCAGCAGACTCCTGACATGAACCAGCAGACTGCCGATTCGCATCGGGGCCCAACCACGGGAGCTGAACACGTTCAGGCAGGACGTGGCCAGGAGCAGTAATCATAAGGCATATTTAAGATGCATTAATCAAACGACAAGTACATTAATATACTGAGGATGCTCCTCTCTGATATTAAGCACGTTACTTCAATTATTTAAGAAACAAAAATTCTTCTGAGCCTTTAGGACCCTTCCCCAAGTTTTATATTGATGGAAAAAAGCTTCTTTGTAGCCTCCAGCACAGCTTGTCTAGGAGTTACAGAAGGAGAGGGAGGCTTTGAAATAAGTTAGGTTTATTGAAGACAAACATAAAATGTACGAAAACGAAGCAGAGAGTCAGGACTGCTGTGAGACGCATTAATCAACTGCAGTTTTAACCAAAAGCACAGGACAGGGATCCAACAAGAGTGAGGCACAGGCAGCCAGCTCCCCCTTTTTAAGTCCCCTCCATTAATGCTAAAAAAGAAAAAAAATCACCTAAGCCAACTTGTTTGACAACTCCTTATGCAACAGTTTGGCTTAAGTATCTAAATGCCTGAAAAAAAAATTACCTCAGGAGCAAAGTAGTCAGGGCGAATTTTGGAAATCAGGGAGAGCTTTTGGCCCAAGGTCTTGGCTCGGTTAAGAGTGAGCATAGTCTTCCTCATCTTCCTGCTGTGACGAATGGGAACGTCTGACATTAACTCCACACCCCCCGCTACGACGACGTCGCACTGTCCAGCTGCAATCATACCCACGCCTGCAGAACAAGACAGAGTTTCCCGTGAGAGCTGTGTGGAGAAGCCACACTTACCCCATCAATGCCCTGGACGCTACTACATTTCATTTCCTCCTCCAGCCTCTGGCTTCGGCCGAGTGCTACAACACACATTAGCACAGCCTGAGCAGGTGGAACAGACCTTTTCTGAATCGTGCTACTTTTGTAACTTCGCTTCCACTTCTCTTTGTCACACGCAGCAGTTGGGAAAGAATACCCCTAGTGATTCAGGACAGTAACAGGGTCTCAATTTTTTTTTTTTTGCGCTGTTTAGGCTAAGTCAAAGACAAAAGCAGCCTGAAAGGCGGCAACTTCCTTATTGTGACGTAGCCTTTACCTCCCAAGCTACCATGGACGCTGAGCGGAGACTATCGCTGAACGCAAAGGGCATCCAGCTGCTGGCAGGTCTACAACAGACACTCGATTTATGTTATATTTTGTTGGTTCAAAAACTTTCCTTCCAGTCCAGAATTCCTCTGTCATTTCAGAATTTTTCTTTCTGGAGAAGGACTCTGTATCAGGGAGGGGAGCAATAGGATGAGGGGTAATGGTTTTAAAATGAAAGAGGGAGAGTTAGATGAGATATTACAAAGAAGTTCTCTCCTGTGCGGGCGGTGATCCCCTGGGGCAGGTTGCCCCGAGAAGCTGTGGCTGCCCCATCCCTGGAGGTGTTCAAGGCCAGGTTGGACGGGGCTTGGAGCAACCTGGGCTGGGAGCAAAGTAGTCAGGGCGAATTTTGGAAATCAGGGAGAGCTTTTGGCCCAAGGTCTTGGCTCGGTTAAGAGTGAGCATAGTCTTCCTCATCTTCCTGCTGTGACGAATGGGAACGTCTGACATTAACTCCACACCCCCCGCTACGACGACGTCGCACTGTCCAGCTGCAATCATACCCACGCCTGCAGAACAAGACAGAGTTTCCCGTGAGAGCTGTGTGGAGAAGCCACACTTACCCCATCAATGCCCTGGACGCTACTACATTTCATTTCCTCCTCCAGCCTCTGGCTTCGGCCGAGTGCTACAACACACATTAGCACAGCCTGAGCAGGTGGAACAGACCTTTTCTGAATCGTGCTACTTTTGTAACTTCGCTTCCACTTCTCTTTGTCACACGCAGCAGTTGGGAAAGAATACCCCTAGTGATTCAGGACAGTAACAGGGTCTCAATTTTTTTTTTTTTTGCGCTGTTTAGGCTAAGTCAAAGACAAAAGCAGCCTGAAAGGCGGCAACTTCCTTATTGTGATGTAGCCTTTACCTCCCAAGCTACCATGGACGCTGAGCGGAGACTATCGCTGAACGCAAAGGGCATCCAGCTGCTGGCAGGTCTACAACAGACACTCGATTTATGTTATATTTTGTTGGTTCAAAAACTTTCCTTCCAGTCCAGAATTCCTCTGTCATTTCAGAATTTTTCTTTCTGGAGAAGGACTCTGTATCAGGGAGTGGAGCAATAGGATGAGGGGTAATGGTTTTAAAATGAAAGAGGGAGAGTTAGATGAGATATTACAAAGAAGTTCTCTCCTGTGCGGGCGGTGATCCCCTGGGGCAGGTTGCCCCGAGAAGCTGTGGCTGCCCCATCCCTGGAGGTATTCAAGGCCAGGTTGGACGGGGCTTGGAGCAACCTGGGCTGGGGGGAGGTGGCCCTGCCCAGGGCAGGGGGTGGAACAAGATGCACTTTAAGGTCCCTTCCAACTCTCACCATTCTATGATTCTTCAGACATTTACTTATATTCACTAAGCAGTGCAAGTTAGATGAGGGATGTAGAGTTGCTAAACTCCTCCTCAAATCCATGACTGTTCTTCCAATCAACATACCTGTGGTCATCGCCTGGTTTGACGAAATGCAAGCCATGGTGACTGTATGGGCTGGAGTTTTGTCAGAGAAACCCGCTCCCAACGCAGCCTATGAGCAACAAAGAATGACTGTTAAAACCTACGCCTTTTGCTCCACAGGGTCAGAGCCACCATCTGCCCAGCAACACACTTTTGCAGACTAAGCTGAAAACAAGTACATCGGGTTTTCCAGTCAGGCAATTACTGCAGCAGCTCATCCTCTCCCCGGACTCTGGAAGCAGGAGGAGACGGCAGCTGCCCAGCTGCCAGGGCGCTCAATCGCGTTATGCATAGCGTCGCTGGCCCCCCATTAATCAAGGGACAAACTAAGCACACACCTCACAATTTCAAAAGAGCTTCCAACTACTCGACATCATCTTTGCTTCACCTTATGTGCAACAGCAGCACGTGAAAGGAATTATTTAGACCCCTCGGTGGAAGGCACCGTGATTTGCTTTACACAGAACAGAACATTTCTTGCAGCTCAGAAAGCAGTGTCTCATTTGCGCCAGCTGAGAGCACGGCCTCCCATCACGGGAGAACTGCTCACAGCAAGACCTTCCCTAATTGAGACGTGGCCAACTAGTTTAAAGTTCAACAGTTGTTCCCAAGTTAAAATTACACCACAGCCTCATCTGACTGGCAGGTGACCAAAGCGAGTATTTGCATATACAAGGCTAAAACTGCCGATGGAACTGAAGAGCCTCATAACCTCCCAAGTCTTTCCAGCCCAGGTTACGTCATGGTTTTGCCTGGTTGCAGAGAATAACAGCAGAGGCTCCAGATTACAGAAAATCACATGCCACCCCTGCAACGTTACTTCAGTGGATCAGCTTCTTTCTGTGTATAATACCTAAATTGTGTTTTCTGACTGCCAGAAAAAAGGGCAGCTAAGCTACTCCATTTAAAATCATTCACAAGCTGCATCTGATCAGCCAGCCAAAATAAATACCACAGTATTCTATCAGAGTATGCTCTGGACTTCTCAAGTACTTTGGACAAGCCAGCATTTGAGTCCAACTGGGAGTTAGAGTGATCAGCAATCGTTAACAAAAGCTTCCCTTTCAGGGAAGAATCAAGCAGAGGCTTCACAGCCTTAAAATACACTTGATCTGTGGCAGATTTCAACAGGAGGCAGAGTCCCATACAGTTATCTGACAGAGATTATTGCACAATTAGTTCATACTCCCAAATCACATTTAAATGAAACTTTTTTCCCCCCAGGTATTTGACATCTTCATACTATTGGCAGAAATCAGACTCACAGGGGAAATGCTGCACGTGACTCACCTCTCTGGCAACATTACTCGTTTTCACCTCCTGGATAACTGTGCCATAAACAATGTAATCAACAACATCCC